GGTACTCAACACAGGGTCACCCCTCTCTAGATTTGAGTTATCAACCACAGTCCCACCTAGATGCCCAATTCCACAACTCACTTTTATCTGAAACAGCCCACAATTAAAATTTCACCTTTCAGGCCCTCCCTGATGGTGCAACAACGGCTTAGAGTGCAGCACTGTGAAGCTGGCAGAGCCAATTCAGCAGGAGTTCAATCCCGGTCCCGGAGGTGACCCACATGACACAGCACCCTCTCCTGTCTCAAGTGTACTTCCTCGATCTGCCTGCTCTGTTCCCCACTCTGTCTCTGGTGAATCCTCCCACTGCAGCGTACCTCAGGCCTGCACCCCTTTCTGTATGGATAAATAAATATATCTTTATTTGAAAAATTCAGCTTTCATTTAAGGCTCTCCAAGGAAGGATCTGTGAGGTCCCTGATTGCTCAGCTAGAGGAGCAGGCACCTGATTCCTCCCCATGCTGCTCACAGGGCTCCCAGATCCCCAGTCCCAACCCCTGCAGAGAAGCATCACACAGACATCCCTGGATGGGGCAGCTTCAATTGCAATGCATTTTATTGAAAGAAGCACTGAGGAGGTTACCATGAGGCCACATAAGCTGTGTTCCCACCACTCCCATGGCCACAGGTACAAGCCTCACGCAGGGATGCCGGGTGGGAAGCCCAGGCGCCAGCTTGAGTTTCCCTTCAGGTGAAGAGGGAAGAGCCCAGAAGTAGGAGCCACAGGCACCAGCACAGAGGTGGGGGTTAGGGGGCATCTCTATCCAGCCTCAGCTGGAGACCGACACAGAATTATCAAAGTGGACGGGCAAAGGACGCTTCCCCTCACAGGCAATGATGATGTGCTTCATGCTGTTGACGGTCTTGTAGTTAGGGGGCTTACGGCTTGTCAGATTGCACTCTGTGATGTTCATTTTCTTCTTACTCTTATGGCAGTTAGTCATTGGTTTTTGCAGGAGATTCTGTGTTCTTGCAGACATCTATGACAGCCTGAAGGGATTCGTGCACAAAGGTGTTGATGTTCTTTTTAAAGGTTTCCTTTGCTTCATGATCCTGTTGCAGTAGTCAGCAGGGAAGTGGCCATTACTGGAATCCATGTGATATTTCTGGAACCTCTTGAACTTCTCTTTAAAAGAAAGCTGGGCCCTCACAATCACCAGCAGACCCAGGACAAGCAGGGAAAACAGGACACAGGTCTTCAGAGCCATGGTGACCTCACTTTTCTGGGGGCCAACTGGGAAAGGAGAGAGGAGGAAAAGCTGCCCCTTAGGAAAGGACCCCACTCCCACCCCTGGGCTCCCCATTGATGTCTAGGTCAGCAAGACAGTCATTCTTCCTGAGACCTGACAAGTATCAGACACTATTTGTTCTAAAGAGCTTCTTTGCCTGACTAGAGAAACTCCATGTTCCCCTTGTGGGTGACACCCTACTGAGGTGCTGTGAGGTGAAAAACAGATATACACTGTGCTCAGCCGCCTCCTTAGAGGATGCTTTCACATGAGATGGGAAGAGAGGTGTCCAGTTCCCAGTTATGGAGAAGAAGGGTGGGGGACCTGCCTGAACAAGGAAGAGAAGGAGCCTCGTTTTTGCCTGGGCCACCACAATCCTACCCACCTTCAACCCCACTTCAGAGCCTTGAAAATGAGTGTGCAGTAGGTTTACCTACAGTGACTATTGGACCGCTAGGTAAGGGCTATGTCAAGGACCTTAAGCTAGAACACACCCTGTCACATATACCCTGACACTGCCCTCACACTGAGGACCAGGCTGACGGGCCCTGCTGTCCACCAGTTAAAGGGACACTCTGCCCAGGGGCTGACACTGGCCTCAGGGAGATGCCATGTGCTCCCCAGGGAGATGCTCGCCCTCCCACCCCGGAGCAGCTCCTGTCCAGCCCCATGGGGCCCCTTTGCAGCTGCCAGCTCTACCCGTCCTGGCTCTGCCTGGCCCAAGCTGACTCAGCACTGGCCTCTCCCCTCCTGCTCTTCCTCTCCACCCTCAACAGAAGCAGCTCAGAGACCCCCGGTGGGCACTCACCTGGGCATCTAGCTTGGTCTCTGGGAGAGAGAGGAGATTCTGCGATTCCAGGGTCCTTGGGGTGCAGACTTATAGAGACTATAAGAGATGTGGCTCAGGAAGAGTGGGAGGAGCCTCAGGGGTTCAGTCCAGAGAAAACAGAGGATGCTATGAGAAGGGGGGGCCCTCTCTGCAGGCGGAGTCAGCTGTTTGCAGGTCACCATGATGCCTGATGCCTCAACTCCAACTACTAGCCATCTGCCCTCCTCACCCCCCAACCCTCACCTTCTCCCCTCTTTCTAGGTGCCTCTCAGTATGAACCATGAGCTGGCACAGTCATAGCTGTTATCTGGAGACCTCTAGAGAGGGTAGGGAAGAGAGGTGTAGCTGTGCCCAGGGGAGGGTTTCCCAGTTCAGAAGAAGAAGAAGAAACAGGAGTGCCTCAGCCAGGAAGAGGACGAAGCCTCTACTTTAGCCTAGGTGATCTGGTCCTGGCCACTTCCTGCCCACCCTTTACCATCACTCGGGGCTTCAAAATGAGCTTGTGGCAGTTTAGCTATATTACAACTTGACCTGCAGGTAAGGGTTATGTAGAGGAACAAAAGATAGAACAAAACCCCTAATCCCTTGTGGAGATCAGATAGAGAACCTATCTCACGACATCATATTCTTCCCTCCAGGTAGAGGTGACAGAATTGAGTAAACAGTGGGACACCCAGCCACTGTCACAGAGAAAGACTGCCGTGGGGAAGCCCCTCACATACCTGGTGTCTCCAGTGTCGGGAGGACGGGAGACCTGTGACAGTGAAGGAGAACAAGATAGAGGGGTCCTTTCCAACTCTGTTCTAAAAAGTATTTTGACCAGATCCATGGAGGAAGGGGCATCCAGGCCATGAGAGGGCTAACAAGGGCGAGAGTGTGGGTCAGGGTGACTCCCCTGAGGAAATGCGACTGCTGCTTTGGGAACCAACACGGTGGACGGCAGCTGTTATGGTCAGTTTGTAGATGAAGAATCTGAGGACCAGAAAGAAACTGGCCCAAAGGACAAGCCCAGAAGGGGCAGCCTCATCGCCCCTAACCTCATTTGGCTGAATTACTTTTCCCTCATTTATGTATAAGCACCCCAAAGAGGGGAATTTCACACACACTTTTGGAAGAGAAACACTGACCAGCGCGAATGCATCGGGTTTCAGTTCTTATCCTATACTCACACACTGGCCAGAGCCTGGGAATCAGCCTGGCTACACCTCAGCCCAGCAGCTGCTACTCCACATCTGGACTATGCCCCCAGGCCCAGCTGTGCTTCTGTCCAAGGTGCCCATGGGGATCCCAAGTGTCGATCTCCAGGTAGAGCGAGGCTAGGGGTTCAGGGCTGTTTATTATTGTGTCACCTACCAAACCCACACTGTGGTCAGGTTTCCTGGGGTTCAGTGTGTCTTCCTGTGCCAGGCTCCGCCCAGAAAACCACTTCACCCTGAGTTGTCCTGACACTTTAGCTCCTCTCAGCTGTGACAATTTCCCAAATGTCCTTGCTTCTATGATTTGACATTTTTATGGATAACTGGTGAGGCAATTTCTAAAATATGACTGTTGTGTTTTTATTATTTGTCTTTTACTTATATATATTTTATGTCATTTCTTGTGTTTTTAAACCAATTTCTCTTTGCAGTAGGCATAAATTGCGAGGCCCAGGCATGTCACTCTGCCATAGGTGAGGGGCCAGGGGGTGCAGTTGACTGTTGTGTTCAGTTCTGTGTTAGCCATGAAAGCTCCTTGGAGGAGGGGTTTTAAGAGGTCATCTAATAGCAGCTTTCTCAACAGAAGCAATAGTGCTCTTAGTGGGCAAAATTTAGTTACTGAGGGGCAAAACCACCTTGAATAGTAGCTTGTTTTGTGACATTTAAAACTCAAAACAACTCAGCAAAATATTATGTCTTAGTTTTTATTTCAGGGGGCAGGGAGTGTGGGTAGGACAGAAATATCCAAAGGGAAGAAAATGGAGACTGATGTGCTAGAAACAGGAAGGCAGTGAGTACCTGTGTTACCAGATGACACCTCTCTGGTGGAGATCAGCGGGGTATTGTCACGGCCAAGGGAATGGACTCCATTGTCCCCACCATTCTTCTGTGCCCCAAATCTCAGAATGTATCTCATTAAAAGTTTTAATAACTTTTAATGAGAGAATATTGGTTTATAACACCACAGTTAATCTCGGACAAGGTCACCTCTCTCTAGCTATGAGTTACCAAGCACAACCCCCACCTAGGCACCCAGTTCCACAACTACTTCTATGTGAAACAGCCCACAATGAAAAGCTTCCCCTTGAAGCCCGGGTAGTGCAACAGCTTCAAGTGCAACACTGTGAAGTTAGGAGCAGCTGCTTCGGAGGGAATTCAATACCTGGCCAGGAAGTAACCCACATGCCGCGCAGACCTCTATGACCCACCTGCTGCCCCCCTCAGCAGTGTACTTCTTCAGTCTGCCTGTTCCGCTCCCCACTCTGTCTCTGGTGAAGCCTCTCACTGCCCCACACCTCTCACCTATACCCCATTCTGCATGTATAAACAAATAAAATTTTTTTTAATTCAGCTGTCATCTAAGACTCCACAGGAAAGGAGTCTCTGAGGTCCCGAGAACTGAATCAGAGGAGCGGACACCTGACTCCTCCCTGTGCTGCCCAGATCCCTGGTCCCAGCCCCTGCAGGGAAGCATCACACAGACACCCCCAGAGGGGGCAACTTCAGTTTGCAAGTGCATTTTATTGAAAGAAGCAGTGGGGGAATTAACATGGGGACAGGAAGCTGGGTCTCACCCCAAGGCCACGGGCACAAGCCTCAGGCAGGGATGCTGGCTAGGGAGGCCAGGAGCCAACCTGGATTTTGCCTGCAGGGTGAAGGGAAGAGATGAGAGAGGAGGGGCCACAGCCAACAGGGCAGGAGGCTGCGGGTGGGGCCGGGGATCTCTATCCAGGCTCTGCAGGAGACCTACTCGGAACCATCAAAGTGGACGGGCCAAATCCCATCACAGGCAATGACGATGTACTTCTTGCTATTTTTGGTCCGGTACCTGATGGGGTTCCTGCCTATTATACTACACTCTGTGATGCTCATTCGATTACTACTCTTGTGGCAGTTGTTACACGTTCTATTTTTGAATATGTAGTTTTCCTCCCAGCAGACATCGTGTACATCCTTAAGGGACTCATGCACAAAGGTGTTGAAGTTCCTCTTTAAAAGATTCCTTTGGTACATGGTCTTGTTGCAGTAGGGGGGGTCGAAAGGGCCAGGACCAGTATCCATGTGCCTCTCCTGGAACCTCTTGAAAGCAGGAGGCTGGGCCCCCACGATCACCAGCAGCCCCAGGACCAGCAGGGAGAACAGGACGAGGGTCTTCAGGGCCATGGTGGCCTCGATTCCCTGGGGGCCACCTGGGAAAGGAGAGAGGAGGAAAAGCTGCCCCTTAGGAAAGGATTCCACCCCCACCCATGGGCTTCCACCCTGGGTTCCTTCAGGTTATAAGATAGTCACTCTTCCTGAGACCTGCCAATATGAGACACTATATGCCCTCAAGAGTGTTTTACTCCTGCTGACTAGAGAAACTCCATGTTCCCCTTGTGGGTGACACCAAAGTGACCCACACCAGGCAGGCCTGTCTGTGCTACTGAGGTGCTATGATGTGAAATACAGGTGTACCCAGGGCTCAGCCACCTCCTTAGAGGACCCTGTCACATACACCCTGGCTGCCCTGACACTAAGGACCAGGCTGACGGGCCCTGCAGTCCACCAGCTCAAGGGACACTCTGCCCAGGGGCTGACACTGTCCTCAGGGAGACGCCATGTGCTCCCCAGGGAGATGCACACCCTCCCACCCAGGGCAGCTCCCGTCCAGCCCCACGGGGCCCCTTTGCAGCTGCCAGCTCTACCCGCCCGGCCCTGCCTGGCCCAAGCTGCCTCAGCGCTGGCCTCTCCCTTCCTGCTCTTCCTCTCCACCCTCAACAGAAGCAGCTCAGAGACCCCCGGTGGGCACTCACCTGGGCGTCTACTTGGTCTCTGTGAGAGAGAGGAGCTTCTCCAATTCCAGGGTCCTTGGGGTGCAGTCTTATAGAGACTACAAGAGGTGTGGCTCAGGAAGAGTGGGAGGAGCCTCAGGGGTTCAGTCCATAGAAAGCAGAGGATGCTGTGAGAAGGGGGGGGGGCCTCTTTGCAGGCAGAAACAGCTGTTTGCTGGTCACCACGATGCCTGATGCCTCAACTCCAACTACTTGCCATCTGCCCTCCTCACCCCCCAACCCCCACCTTCTCCCCTCTTTCTAGGTGCCTCTCAGTATGAACCATGAGCTGGCACAGTCATAGCTGTTATCTGGAGACCTCTAGAGAGGGTAGGGAAG